GCGTGTCAAGCGGCTGCAGAGCCCCAGCCCTCCCTGCACAGCAGGACGAACGTGCTGGTGCGCTGGGACCGAAGTGCTGTGAGGAGCCGCGGCCGGGCTTTGGCCAGGGTGGTGGCAGGCGACGGTGACCCTCTGGGCATCGGGGTCCGCTCACCCCATCGCCCCTTTCCATGAATGGCTAACGGGGCCCCGGGGGATGAGCCCCAACCCCAGCCCTGCTCTGGGCGCCCTGCACCACGGCGGGGTGGGGGCTGAAGCTGCCAGTTCCCTTCAGCGGGGTCATAGCTGCTCTTACAAGATTTAATTAAGGCACCTGCTATAAGTGTTTCAGCAAATTAGTTCCCGTTAGAGAAATGTCAGGCGCTCACTGCAATCTGCATCGCAAGGCGGGGGGACGGGGGGGTGTATCCTCAGGATGGGTGCAGGAACCAGAGTCTTGATCTTCTGTGCTTGGGGGGGAGGCGGAAACAAAAAAACAAACCACAGAAAACAAAGAAAGTCACAAACTTGAGATTCATGCCATTTCTTCCCCCCCCGTTTTAACTCCGTGCTCATTGTCAGTAAACAGCAGCTTAGAAGAAGGGCCCAGAGGCACTTGGAGAAAAGAACATCAGATGCAAAAGTTTTCAGAGTAAACTCTGAAACAGCTCTCGGAGGCCCCAAGGAACAGCAGCTCCACCGTGCTCCAGCTGAGCAAGCGAAGCTGACGTTTCCATGCAAATAAGTTATACCAGCAGGCAAGCACCCGCGCACGGCGAGAGCAGAAATAAAGTACTTTTGTCGTGGTTTTTTTTTAAACAACAACCGTACCTGTTTGGGTCCCAGAGGCAGCTCATTTACATGCAAGTGCTCAGCCCGGGGTAGGTGTGTCACCGTGGCTGAATTGTTTCTTTTTAATGACAAATTCTTCTGTGGTCTCCATAGGAGGGAGCCACGCGCTGCAGAGGGGTTATTTGGGCGCTCAGCAGCTGGCAGAGCCCGGGAAGGGGCCAACAGCTCAGAGTCACGGCTGCTTCAGGGGCGAGGAGCAACTTTGCCCGCTCCAGGCAGCAGAGCTGACGCCCACCGAAGCAGCGGGGTTTCAGCTGGAGGGCGCGCAGGGCAGCTGGGGGCTGCCACGCAGACTGGAGCGGGGCACCAGCTCTGCCCCAGCAGGATGGGATCCCAGCACGTGTGTCCCCAGTGCCCCACGGCTGCTCCGCCTGCATCCCACAACAGGCAAAGCGCTGGCCTGAGCCGCTCTCCCCCAGGCCGGGGCTGGGAGTCACCCGGCTCCTCAACCCGCTCCCACACCCCGACCGTGGCCAGGACAAGGACTGGGCTGAGCCCAATCTCACAGACCCTCAGGGCAGCCGAGACCCCCGGCCGGCCAGCGAGGATCTCACCCCTGTTTTCCACTGGGGTGTAGCTGAACGGGGAGCCAGGGCGCAGCCTGCGGTGCGAGCCAGCTGGTGCAGCCCACAGAACGGCCGGATCAGTCAGGGGCGAATCCCCGACCTGCCCAGCAGCAGCAGCAGCCGATACCCCCCAGCACAAAGGGGAGAGCTGCAGCGGAGCAGCCTCTGTGCAGGAGCAGACGAGCAGCAGCAGCGAGGGCTTGCCTGGACCCGCTGGGAGGGAGGTGTCCATTGCCCAGACCCCGGGGGGGTGTCACCAGCCAGGCCGGGGTCACAGCAACAGGCTTTTCACCACAGCCACCATCCTGCCGCCAGCCGGCAAGGCAAGACAGACATTACCTTTCTAGAGAGGAAGCATCTTCCTTCTTGCCAAAAAGGGCAGCAGAAGTTTGGGATGACTCCCGCACCCTCCCGGGCCGCCCTTTCCTCTCCTCCAGCTGCAGAACTGTTCCTCGCGGAACACGGCCCCGCTGCTGGAGAAGAGCAGGGTGAGCGCTGGCCCCCAGTGAAGGGAGAACCCAGAGCACAACGTGGAGCGCAGCGACCGAGGCTGGGAGCAGCAAGGACCGACCGGCCCTTCCTTGCCCTCCCGCATCCCTCCCGAGCGGGAGCGTCCGGGTCTCAGCAGTGGCCTTGGGGCTGCAAGGGGTGGGGGGGCAGGATGGGCAGACACACTCATGGCATCACCCGTGCTCAACGCGGCACAGGGATGGGACTGCCGTTCCTGCCCCAGGCACCGGAGGGGCTCCAGCTACAGCGGGAGAGGAGGCGCCGAGTTCTCCAGCCCGGGGCTCGGCAGGGAGCGTTCCCACACAGATGGGTGTCTTGGCTCTTGTCACAGATGACACATGAATATATTCTATGAATATTCTATTCATTCATTCAATGTCAGTATGCGAACACGGGCTCTGGGATTAACAACCACGCAGCTGCGAGACCCCAGGCTCCACAGCTGATCTGTCCCCACCGCAGCCCCTCCAGGCAGCAGGACAGACCCACCGCGGCTGCTTGCCGACGCTGCCTTGGCGTCGCGATACACCAAGCCATCAGCAGAAGAATTCAGGTCACCTCCTCCCTCCATACCCACCATGGTTACTCCCGCCGAACCGCTGAGACACTTACCTTCCCGGTGCAAATTCTGCTGCAATTCTAGAGTCCAGAAAGCATAAAACCCCAGAACACAGCAAAGCAAAGACGCCCTCACACAGTCTAGTTCGATTTTCTAGTGAATTCAGCAAAAACCTCCTCCCACAGCGAGAACAAATGGCTTCTAGCCAGAGTGACCCCTAACCCCTGCACCAAAACAAACCCAGCGTGCCCCAGAGCTCAGGCTGGGCTGCCCAAGGGCAATGAGCTCGTTCTCGGGCCACGGTGGCCTCTCCCCGGCTCCCACCGGAGCTCCCGAGAAAAGCCGCTGTAGAAGAGAGTCTCCAGCCAGGGGCCTGGCCCCTTTCTGCTACCCGGGCTCGAGCCCCAAAGAGACCAACACACAGCTCCTCTTAAACATTTTATTAATGATCAGCAACAAAAGTTTACAACAGAGAAGACAACAGAACCGGCGTGGAAGGACGGTCCAGCACAGTGCAGGGAGCGGCCCAGGACACCCACCACAGCACCCTGGAATGTAAAAGGCAGAAAGGGGCTCAGCCCAGCACCCGACCTCCTCAGGCCCTGCAGCTCCCCGCAGGGGCATGCGTGCTGCACGTCAGCCCTCAGAAAACAGCCGTGAAATTTCAGTTGACAAGGTCCCTCCCTTAGGTAACCCGTCAGGCACAAGGTGGACTCCGGCGGCAGCAGCAAGCAGGGCTCCGAGCAGCACCGGGTCCTGCTGCCTCGCGACAGGAAGAGCCTTTGGCAAAAAAGCCCCCAGGGTTCCTATGCCTCGTGCGGAGAAATCCCTCAACCTGCCAGGGAAACTGCAGAACCGATGGTCCCTGTGCCACCAGCCACCCACCCCTCTCAGGAGCTGCCGCGCCGCTGTCTGTTACTGGAGCAGCAAACGATTCGCTGGCACCAGCCACAGCGGAGAGAGGCTTTATCCAGCTAAACCCAAAGTAGCTTTGGGTCTGGTATTTGTGCAGAGGCAGCAGCCGAGAAGAGGCAGCGCGGCGAACCCCAGAGACACCGATGGCCCAGCGTCCCTAACCAAAAGCTTGCAGGAGGAACTGCGGGTGCCGTATCCCTTCCCCGGGGAGGCCGTTCTCGCCAGTCTGTTCAGCCGCCCCCACCACCGCCTGAAGGGCTGCTCTGGAACGCAGACTCCGGTCAGGACAGCCGAACCTGGAGGGGCAGAGGGGGCCTGGGCAGCTGCTCCATTTCCCTCCTACTAAAAGCCAGAAATGGCAGAAGGTAAAAGCACATCAACATGTTAAAACATTAGTTATAATTAAAACAGTTTTTTTTTTTTTTTTCTTTTGTCAAATCTCCTCCTGGGAAAGGGGACGGGGGCTGATTAACGGCGGAAGAACTAGGCAGCAGGATCCCGACTTGTTATGTCTGCATAATTAGTGCAGGAGGAGCTAGGACAGAAGAGGGTAGGACAGCACATCCTGCATGCCGGCAGCGGTGTCCCCGTTCAGGGGTCCCCCCTCGAAGAGCTGTCTGCTCCTCAAGAGGGTGAGGCTGCAGCGCTCTGCGACCAAAACCAGGACACCCACACATCGTCTCTCTGCTGGCCTAGTGCTTCTCCTCTTCCAGTCTCTTCATGGCCTCCAACACAGCCAGCTCTTTCGCTTCCTTCTTCTGGTTTCTAGCTTCAAACTCCAGCCTGCATCAATCACAAAATGCCATGAGATTCTCATCCATCCGTATCTCTAGTAGACTAAAAGTACCTGGAGCAGGGGAGCACTGCCTTCTCCTATGCTGCTTTGTTCCAAGAGTACTTCAGAAACCTCACCAGTAACCCCCAGGCTCCTCTTCGAGAGCCAGCACCCACAGCTCCCCACGACTGTTACCATCACTCCAAAGTCCTAGGCTCCCAGACCAGCCAAACACCACTTATTTCTCCCCCTGGGGAAGATGCTGCTGTTCCTTGCTTGGTCTGTGCTGGGACAGACCACTTAGTGCCATAATACCAAAATCAAATTTACCACTGACCTGAGCCAAGGCCACTGAAGGTGAAGGGCTCAGGCCTTAAAAGAGCAAAGGTCTGAAAGAAGCAACATGCTAAATCCCCAAGAACAGAGCAAGGAAATGTTATCATTAGTAGAGGAGGAGGAAAAATAATAAAACTGCTGTGAAGCACATTCTGACAGAGTAGAGCTTAGCTGTTCCTTTTCCTGTACGGTCAGTACATCCACATTTAAGCAGCCTGCCCAAGCTGTGGAAGATGAAGGACCAGTTCACTATCACTTTCAATAACCCCTTCTCTTCCTGTTAGATCCCATTAATTAGTCCTCAGACAAGCTGGATGGAACAGTATGCGACAGAACTGGGAGACGAAGAAAGCCAACCTGTTCTTGATGATTCTTTGCACAATTAAATCTGTGGTGAGATTGCTGCCACTGTCCACCAGCTGGAAAATGCCGCGTCTCTTCGGTTCCTGCGAACAAACACAGCAGACTCAGCTGTGAAAAACACGCAGGACCTCTGGGTTCACAGCTCAGTAGTGAAAGCTGAGCAGAAGTCATGGCAGGTCCTGTGGGCACCCAGCCAGGCACGACACAAGACTGTCTCCTAGGAGGCAGAATAAAAAACTGCTGAAAGCAAAGCCTCACGTATATGGGAGCTGAGCAAGGCTGCCCGGGACTGGCATAGAGCAAAGATTACAGGATTTCTCATTCTGCCACGAAGGCATCAGAAACAGGCAAAACAAAACAGTGACTGAAAGAACGGGGCTGTTGTGAATGATTTACGGGCTCTGCTCCAAGTGGCTACCCTCAGGGGTGGATGAAAACCAGCATCACCTGCCAAGGACTTGCTTGGGTAGCATCCTCTGCGACACAAATTCTCAGCTCAGGAACACGAACAAAGCCCTGCTGTATTTATCAAATGCTGACAAAGAAGCACGGACAAGAGCAGCTAGTAGCTCACCTCGTACGGATCAGAACCATCCTTGTCTGGCACCACCTCAGTCATCCCATGACACACAAGTGTTACCTGGAGAAGGACACAAAGTCACTGACAAGATCCAAAAGATGACAGGGACTTTCCCTGCCACTGCACTCGCTGCAGCATAGCCCGGAGATCAGCAAAGCCACCCCTCCTGCACGAGGCTTGGCAGTGCATCAGGAGCTCCCTGTAATCCTGCCGAGTGGGACCATCTCTCTTCTACACCCCTGTGTTTTCCTGCACCACTTTAGCTCCCTAAGCACATCACACACCAACATCTTCATGTACATCTATACGCAAAGACTCTCACCCTGAAGTGATCCAGCAGATCAGCAGTGACGGCGTAGGGGGCTCCAATCACCACCTCCGAGACATACTAGAAAAGAAACCAGGTAAAGAGTCCAGATTTGAGGGGAAAAAATTAAAAAAAAAAAAGAAAAAAGAACCAAACCAGAGGCCAGCAGACTTCCTAAACAGACTTGAGCAGGTCATCTGGTTATAGAGTTAGGAACTCAAATAAGGGAACGAGAAAGTGGTTTTAGCAGTCACTGCTTGTCACACAGCATCTTTCTGTTCCACTAAAGAATATGCTTTCTGGTAGCATCTATATAGCAAATCCAAAAGTTAATTGCTCAGAGCACACGTTTCTGGGCGGCCCCACATTTCCTTCCCAGGAATGTTCTCCCCTGCTACAAAAAGCAGAGAGTTTTCTACAAGAAGCCAGCTGTAGAGCAGAGCAGCACTCTGCAAGGCATCCTGCCTTTTCACTGCCGGTGGAACAGAGGTGGATGGGTTCAACAGCTCAGGTTAGCCAGGACGACAGAGGAGCCTAGTGGTTCCTCCTGAGAGCACACAAGCACCTCTGGCAGCCTAAAGTGATCAGTCTCGTCTTTGCCTTCTCAGCGCACAGCAAAGAACTCATGCAAGATCGTTGGCTACAGCTGAACACCACCCAGCTCCAGGCAATTTCTGGAACGGCGCAGAGGCACCTACGCTACAGGCACTTACCCTACAGGCCAAGACACTGAGTGTTCTCTCATGGATGTTCATGATGGGATAGTTCTTCCCTTTGTAGCGATTTACTTCCTAAGGCAAAGCACCAGGCACAATTAGAAGAGAGACAAAGCAACCCCCTTTTCCTCTCACTTTCTCCCAACATGAAAATCCTGTATTGGCCAATACATCCCTTTCCTGCCTTCCAGAGCGCAGCCCGCTTGCTTCAGAAAGGACAGGTGCCAAGCTGCTCTGTCTTTGGACAACGTTATATACGGACCTGATCAAAGTGCAGCCCAGCAATGATGTAGGGTTTCTCTGCCAGCTGGTGAACCTTCTCCAGGAAATCCACATGCCCAATATCTGTAGACCTGTTTAAGGAATTGAAGCTAACATGGAAAATAGGGGAAGACAGACAGAAACAGAGGCATTGAAAAACCACCGTGGGAGACAGGAATCCCAAGGATTTTATTTTTGCATTACGTGTCGCCTGTGTCCTAAGAACAGTTGCCTCCTTCCTCCTCAGGCTCCACAGGTTCTGGGCAAAAGCCAGACATCTTTTCAGCTCCACCCTACATGGATTCAACTTTGCCTCTGTCCAGAATTTCTACCTGTTTCGGGTGTTCTGGCACAACGCCTCAAAGACTGTCCCAGGGATGAAGTGTCTGCTCCAGATGCCCTGTGCAGTCACTTGGTCTATGACAGCCAGTCCTCAAGAGGGACTAGAGCGCGATCACTACAGTGCGGAGAGTACCCAACCGCCTTCCTGAAATCCTCCAACAGCCACAAATCTCTCTAGAGAGGAGCTGTAGCTCCTTTCTCAGTGTCCTGTGACTAAGAAACTGCCAGTAAGAACTCCTGCCTCCTCCCCTCACATGCACACCTACAGAAAAGGAAAAAAAAAAAAAAAAGAAGAGGTAAATATCCTAGTTTGGTGCCTCAAAACATGAAAACATCGAACAAAAAGACCAACGCTACTTTCTTGACAAAACAGAGTCAAGGATACGGAACAGGTCGAAGGCTCCAGCCACGTAGATGATAGTGTCTCCTGGCTGTGGTTCCTTCCCTGATGCGAACTGGATGATCTTCTGAGATGTCTGTAGGAACTGCGAGACGCCAGTCCAGGGACTGTGACCTTTTGGCCCCTGGGAAAACACACACCACACACGTTTCCTTTTCAGGCTCCAGGAAGGGGTTTGGACAACACGCAGAATGCGGCTGCAGACAATTTGCTAGCAAGTATCACAGCTCTTAGCAGCTTGGACTTTTCACATTCCTGGCACCAAATATTTGTGCAATCTCACAAAAGCCCTTTTTGCTCTGTCAAACACAGTCTAAATCATCCCCTCAACAGCCAGCTAAGGACATGCCCAGAAGAAAGCTCAGGAAGGAGGAAGGCAACAGGGCGGTCTCGGATTTCCAGGAGAGGCAAGGCTTACTAAGGGAGACAACACGCAACCTACCTACGCTCTTCTCAAGCCTTAAGGCAGCCTACCCGTTCACCTAGCCGATGGCATGCCAGGCGGGGAAGGGATCAACCCAGAGCTCCAGCAAGGGCCAGAGCCCAGCGCCGGTGAAACCGAAGACGGAGCTTTATCCCCGCCATGTGGCAGTTTTGGAAACAGCCACCGAGTCACCCGCTCCGGCCCTGCTTGGCTCCCCTAAAGCTAGCTGCTCTACAAGACCTGAAAGAACAATGACAACTCAACCGAGACGCGGGCAAGCCATACAAACGGCAGCAGGCAGAAGGGGGGCAGCTGACAGGGGTCATGCAGGGTACCTGGTGCCCAGATATTCTCCCCAGATCCAAGCACCGGGTTAACAGCCATGCTGGAGCAACAGGCCCCGTAAAGCCTGCTCAAAAAACCCAACATGGTGGAGAACAAAGAGGATGATTCAGCCTGGTCAGCAAACCCCCTGTGAGTAAAAAAGACTTACTCAAGCTGTAGGTCCAGGTGCTCATTAGTCAGGGACAATCCAACACCCAGGACAAAAAAAAAGGGGCTGACAGCTCTTTAGAGGTAGCCTAAGATGTGAGCTGGACACGACGGCAGAGAACCCCAGGAGGACCGCTCTGCTGCTTGAATTCCGCAGTACAGCATGCTAACTACGTGCCTGCTACATAAGTGCTTCCCAGAGCTAATGCAACACCTTTAAAAACATGAGCACTAAAAGGAGCATCCACAGAGGCTGTCCCTAGGCTGGGACTGCCGGCACTTGGGTCCCAAAGGAAGCAGCAATAAAGAATTTACAAGCAAGCCAGGAAAATAGCAAAGGCTTAATGGGCACAGCAGCTCTACGGCACTGCTGAAGGACAGTTCCCTCGCTGGCCCTCTCCGGCCACACCTGCTTATTTCACTGACTACAGCGGCTACTTTATGGGGGCAGCAGACATTTACTGAGGTTACTGCTAAACGTGGGGGAAAAAACAAGCCTGCAACACAGGCCAGAAAGCACATTTGGAATCCTTCTCAGACAGGACAACAACCAGACGTCCACAACCAGAACTCACATTACCTTCCCAAAGTTGTCAGTGTGCTTCCGATAGTCTAGGTCCTCATCCTGAAGGGAGATAAAGAGTCAAAATGTTTAAGCACTCACATAGCTCATCCAACCAAGAATATGCTTGTGTGTGGCAGAAGTGCTGGGAAGTCCAGGCTCAGGCTGCACGCCATCGATCCCTGGCACTGAATGCTGACAAACTGGTTAATATCTAAACCAGAGTCATGTCCCAGCATAAGTCGGATGAAACGCGTCCTTATCTGATCCCAGCCTGGCACCACACAGTGACAGTGGATCTTGCCCAACCTGCAGACCTGATAGCGTTGCATACCTACGTCCTCCCTCAACTACGCAAGCCCCTAACAGGACAGCGTCCCTCCTTCTTCCAAAGACACTCCACTAGAGACGGGCTCAGATCTCTGCAGACAGCTAGTAGCACGGTGCCAGATCTTGGTGTGAACTTATATATTACGGCTAAGCCAATCTAACAGCTCAGCGCACTGAAAGATCTCCCTCTACCCCTGAATTCTTTTGTGGGTCCCTTGTCTTGTCCCTGCTGTTATCTAGGTGATTCCATTCACTGGATTGCTTGTTTACCAAGTCAATTCAACTCATTAACCAACATAAAACTACTTCCTTTATCTTCCTTTCGTTAGGTTAGCTATCTACCAGGTAGTGAGCTGAGGAGACTCAAGAAAGGTCTGATAAGACTAGAGACAGCAGAAGGTAGAAGCACGCAGCTCAGTGGGAAGGAAGAGGACTTTCCAATTCTGGCAGCACTGGGCTGATAGATCAATGTGGCTGCACTATGTAGTTTCACCCTCGGAGAAGCCATAGCCTAGCCTGTAGTTCCCATAACGTTCCCAAAGCCCACACCAATCACGAGGGATCGAAGCTTTTATCCCCCCACATCTTTCCAAAGCAGCATGGGCTGAGATCACACTGTGATCCCAGACGGGCTTAAGCAAACATAAGCAGGGTGTTTTGCTGCCCATAATCAGCTTGCCAGTTCTCCGTGCACCTAGGAGCCAGACCCAGGAACTCCACTGCTATTTGGGACAGCAAAAGGGAAGAGCTGGCATATGCCCCGGACTCCAAACTCCCACCCAAAGCCCTCTGACTCACTATGTTGCTGTGGTGAGCCTTAGTCATGAGCAGCATGCGGCCAACGAGGTCGGTAGTGGACACGCCTTGGGTGCGTTTGCATTCCCTGCAGGGAGACAAGCAAGGGATAAAGCAGAAGCCATGGGAGCATATGCCTCTTTCTCTTCCCACCATTGCCACAGGAACACCTGTGACACCTGATAAATCCAAACCAGGGACCGTCCTGAGAAAGCCTTCCTTCTACCTGCTCTTGATATAACGTTAGGGTTCATTTGCTGAGCATCTTCTTCACGCCACAGCAACTGCTCATATGAGGAACACTTACCCTGCACAGACTTCGCAACAGAGCCAACACCCAGTGAGGCTTCAAGACCAGAACTAATATCTGCCAGGAACAGGGAGGTCCCACCCGTCGGTTGCTAGTCCACAACGCTTCCCGGAAGCCAAAACGGTGGGAGCAACTGAAGCTCTGACACACGTTACAGCAAAATTAAAGCGTGACTGGAAGGTAGCTGTGTTTCATCTGACCTCCCTTCAGGACACGAACTCCCAGAAACTCTGCCCAAAACAGGATAAGAAGGTAAGAAGCGACGGGTTACCTGTATCGCCCTGCTGTCTTCACTTCTTCATAGGTATCCTTGCCATCTATCGTTAAGGTGATGTCATCTGCAGAGAGAGAAAAGCCTCAGAACTGCGCCCCAAGCCTTCCTGCACAAAAGCGGTTCTAGAATGACAGTAGTAGCTGAATAGGTCCAGCACATAAGCCAGACTTGAACTCCTGCAATCCAAATCTCTGTGTGTACACATGGAATACATCCTGCATCCCATGGAAATATCAGGGGTTTGCAAGATTACCCCATCCGTGGAGACAAGCATATTCCGGGATGCTAAACACCATAACCGTCTGGTCCCGTTTTTTAGATAGTCCAGAAAATCTGAGCTGGCTGCCCTTGCAGTGAATCCAGCAGCAAGCACGACTGAATTATTGTCTGAATGACAATAAACAGCTACCATCAGTCTCAGTATTAAAAAGCACCTTAACCTTAACTTGTCTAGGACTGGTTTTAGCCGCTGCTTCACGTTACAGCTTTTCCAGTCAATTAAACAGTCCTCCAACAGCCAGCTCTTCCCCTCAGTGATGGCACTTCTACAGTGACACCAAGCTACCCTTCTACAGGGTTAATTCCGGTTCATCTTTGACATGGTTCCCAACTCACTCTACAAAAACACCTCTCACCTACTTTTAGCGGTAGTATAAAATCTTCACAGGTGAAAAGCTAAGCTGGCTTTCGTTTGGCAAAACAGCCAGTTCACAGCGCAGGCGGCTGGCAGCTCACGAGTGCTCTCCCTCACACAAGTAGGGTGGCCGGCTCAGGGAAGCTGAGGAGTTCTTCTCAAACCCCACGCCCTCACCTCAGGGCACAGGGACAGGGGAAGAGAACATACTGCAGGCACAGCTCTGTGTGCCAGGAGAGAGGCAGAAACAGCGGGTCTCCTGTCTGTCACCCTCCCAGTTAAGCTCAGCTATTTCAAAACTTATCTTTTGCATAAACACAGCCTGGCAAAACCGCAGCGTGCAAGGGTATTATTCAGGTAGAAGTACTGAATGATTTGGCAGAGGGGATAAACGCAGGGAAACTGGAGCAAAGGCCGTGAGCGCTTCTCTGTTGCCATAATCCCTCACCAAGTCTAATAAAGGGGTCACATAACCCACACACACATTCAGGACGGGCAATTAAGTTAATGAGGAATTTGATAATCACCCTGTCCACGTGAAAAAGTGTATCTATCTCACAGAAGATTAATGATTTATTTACATTCAGTGAAATACTTGGCTTATCGATAGCAGGTGGCTGGGATCAGATGAGGAAGGATACGTGAAATGAGTGCAAAGACTACTCCCGATTAAACCAACAAAATACCTTCAGAGGAGTAGGGAGGAGGGGCTGAGGCTGAATGAGCACGAGCAGCAGTCCCAGGGAGGGACAGAGTACACAAGTTCTGTTTCCTCAGAACGCTGGTTCTCTTCAGTGGCTATAAACTGAAAAGTGTTCATCACAAGAACTAGGTCTCTGACCACACGGTCAGCTAAGCCCTTGAACAGCTTATCAGCTGGATAAAAAGAGAGAAGCTTTCCAGATCTGATCTCATCCCAGGATAAGCAGATATAAACATGATTGTATTTCTGCACACTTACCTTTTTAACAGCGTTTTTCACATTTAAGTTTTGTAAATTATTATTTCCCCCGTGCACAAATTTCTGCTGGTGCTAAGGGCAACCTCAAGATAATTGTCAGACAACGCATTTCACCTTCTAAGTGAAAGGGATGCTTAAAACCAAGGGATCTGGACACTCTCAAGGTGCCTAGCGCACAGACGTATTTCTCCAGAATACCAGAACAGGAGTAGCCATACTGCCCGGCGCAGGTGTTGGTGAGACAGACCTCGGTGCACAAGGTACCCTCTGATGGCCAGCGCTAGCCAGAATGTTCCTCAGTTTGCAGCAGGGAAACCAAGAACACGCAAGCCCCGGAGGGCCTGTGTTAATAGAACCATTGCCTCAGAATACCACTCACCACCGTGCACACAGAAGTCACAGCTATATTTGTCCAAGGTTTCCAGTGTGGTGACATAGGGAGCTCCTGGAGCAATCTCATCCACCCACTTGATGGCTTGCACCATTTTGTACCTCTCCTCCTGTGTAAAGACAGGGGGGCCCTTGTGCTTGGCAATCTCCTCTGGGCAAGAAACAGAAAAACCCAGTTAGAAGCACATACTACAGCTATGAAGAGTCTCACCTACAGGAGCCTCACTCATTTCGTGGGTAGATGAACTTCACTGCGGGTCTAAACTCTGCTTGGAATTGATCTGTGGTAGAGAAGGAAGCCCCAGCTAGATCAGAAAATATTTTAATTCAGTTGCATTTCCTAAGTGCGTAACGAGGGCCCTGGAACTCACTCGGAAGGCAAAAGGTGTCAGTGCCTCCCTGTACCCAAGTACTTCCTACTGGGGAGACTACCTGGGCCTCCCGGCAGCCCCCGAGGGGAAATTCCCCTTTTAAACAATAGCTTCATGCTACGCTCGGTTCATGCTAGAAAATACGCATCCAGAAACCAATTTAAAATCCATCTTCACACACAAGAAATAGTTCCTAGCACTTAACTTTCAGATGGGCTTGAAACGAGTTTTCTCCACACAGCAATTTGTTTTGGAATATCAGTTCTGCAGTTTCCACCAGCAAAACCAGACTGATTTTCAACTGGTTCAATTGTTGTTACAGCACAAAATACAGATCACCCCTCAAACGAAGCCTGCGAGCTCTGAACTACCTAACCCTCACTCCAGAAAGCGTGAAAGGGGTGACTCCACTCCCTCACCCAGGGAAGTAAGGGTTCTTCTTTCGGAGGGTGAGTAAGGGTACTTCTCTTTTGGAGGCTGCTGCTCCTGAGCAGATGCAGGAAGACGCCTGCTTTGTATCAGGATATCTCCGTTCTCTCGGGGCTAACGTCGCTGGGCGATTCTAGAGGCAGGAAGAGGTGAAAAGCTGAGAAAACCTCTTACCATCTGTGTGGACTCCAACAATCAGATAATCTCCCATGGCCCGAGCCTGGCGTAGCTGGTTCGAGTGGCCATAGTGCACCATGTCATAGCTGGAAAGACAACGGCCCCGGTTCAGTCTGGGGACAGAAGGGTGCACTTTGCTGGGAAGTTGCAGGAGGTGACCTTCCCCCTTTGCAGCCTCAGTGGGAGACCTTCCCCACGGGCTCGAAGGTTTAAAGTCTCTCTGCTATCTGTTACTATACAGCGACTGACGCGTTTACTGCTAGTTCATCGGGGGAAGGCGGCAGCGCTCCGTCACGCTGCAATAAACCTGCCCCAGCCGAGG